GTGAAGAAAAACACTAAAACTCGTTCAAACTTCAGGGGATCTCATTAAGTTTATGTTTCAACAGTCAGTCAGTCAGTTGGGTGTTGTACAATCCTGCATCTTAAGTTACGAGAAATTATTCATGGTAAGGACCTTTAAGACCACTACACTATACTGTACTAACTCTGGGTCCGGCCATCAATGGTGAACAAGCAGATAAGAAAACAACAAACAAGACTCGAGAGACAAGTTGAGCAAATTTGTGAGTGAAAATAATTGTTGTTGTTTTTTTTGTACTACTAAAGATAACACGAAAACAACTTAAAACTACACAGAATTTAAAAGATAACTTAATGATTCTTTTAAAATTGGGTGTTGTATTTTGGTTTATTTAGTAGTTATTGATGAAGGTATGTGAAGGTGATTAATTTTATCATAGGATCGCCTGAAAGTTAACCCCCCCCCCCTAGCCTAACCTAACTCCCCAGGTAACGTTAGGGTTATTAAACAGGTGAAATAAGGTATAAAAGGTTAATTAATCTTCAGGTAATCCAACTAATCTAATCTCTGTGCATAGAAGACGAAAAGGTAAAGAGATATTATATATATGTGTGTGATGAAGTGAGGTGAGATGAAGTGAAGTGAGGTGTGAAATGAGATGAGATGTTTGAGGCTGTGATGAAATAACTTAGGAAAAGAATCATTGAAATCCAGTCAGAGAATTGTGTAAGAGAGAGAGATTTACACAGACAGAACCATAGTCAACATTACCTACCACACAGCAGGACAGGTTTACCAGGGAGGAGTGTCTTTAAGCAGCTCAAGAGTCAACCAGGCTCCTCTACATCACGCTGGTCAACCACGTCCTGTAGATCCGTCTATGTCAAGGGTCAGGCGAGGTCACCACCAGATCTGTGTACCTGAGCTTGAGGAGGTCACAGGCTTACTGGGAACTGCTGACCCGTAACGTTAGAATTAAACTGACTGCGGCTAACCAGACCAACATAGAGCATGAGACCACACAGGGGTTCAGACCTCACAAGGGTTCATGAGACCACACAGGGGTTCAGACCATACAGGGGTCACAAGGGGTTCAGACCTCATGAGACCACACAGGGGTTCAGACCTCACAAGGGTTCATGAGACCACACAGGGGTTCAGACCTCACAAGGGATCATGAGACCACACAGGGGTTCAGACCTCACAAGGGTTCATGAGACCACACAGGGGTTCAGACCTCACAGGGGTTCAAACATCACACACAAAGGGTTCTAACCTCACATAAGACCATCAAACCCTACCATGAGCGTGATGATCTGTTCCCCTCCTCAATGATCAAGGGTACAGGAAGGATGGCATAGTAATCAATACGTAATTTACCTGTGTAATCACCGTACTGTTATTACCTGTGTATTACCTGGATATAAACTACATCCTGCTGACTACCTCTCTCAACATTCATCTGTCATTCGCATTTAAAAATATCATTCAGCTGTTCATATCTACAGTTTTGGATGTTTATTAGTAGATGATGGTAGATAGGAGTAGATATTTATAAGTAGAATGTGGCAAATGGATGTAGATATTTAGAGGTATAAGTAGGTTCTGGTTGGTGAATGTAGATATTTTTTAATTAGATAATGGTAGATGGAAGTAGATGATAGGTAACTTTCGACAAGACTCACACAGGTAACACAAGACACACAGGTAAGAGCCTGAGCCTACAACAAGTCAGGTAATTAAAAATGTAGCCAAGATAAATGACTTGTTGTAAACTTTGGTGAAGAAAAGATAAATTATACCATCGGGCGGAACCTCAGGTGTCTCCTTCACTCTACTGATGATGTTTACCTGTCCATTCTCACCTGTCCATCCTCACCTGTACGTCTACCTGTCCATCCTCACCTGTCCATCCTTACCTGTACATCTACCTGTCCATCCTCACCTGTACATCCTTACCTGTACATCTACCTGTCCATCCTCACCTGTCCATCCTTACCTGTCCATCCTCACCTGTACATCTACCTGTCCATCCTCACCTGTCCATCCTTACCTGTCCATCCTCACCTGTCCATCTACGTGTACACTCAGTGGCTCCCTCACTATACTGGGTAGAGAAGATGTTCACCTCCACCTGTGATAACTGCCTGACTGACACTTACTGCTGACTCGCTGACTTGCAATTAGACTTCAGTCCTGATTGTTGGCTGATATGTCTAGGTAATAAACATCCACAGGTAAATATCCTCACAATTATACCTTAATGTCTTCATGGTTTTGTGTACACTAGCCCCAAAAAAGTATCGGCCTCTTTTATCATCGCTACAATGTGTCATAAGAGACGAATATTTCCGATCACTAATTGTAATTTCTGCATTATGTTGGTAGGCCTTCCTTCCTAGTATCTGTGAGGTTGACAGTTATTATTTCTGGCATTTGTTGTAATAATGGTGAATCACTGAGCTCCATCCTTAATTGAATAATATTATTGTAGCGATGATACTGCCTCATGTTGCCTGTGATGTCTCCATAGTGACTGTCAATCCCATGGGAGGACTTGACAACATCTCGTAGTGTGTATCAGATAATGTTCCGTTGTCAGCACCGATCATGAGGTAACACGTTATATTCATAATTGTTACCTCATCATTAAATATTGAGGTAGAAATAATATCGAAATGCAGTAAATAATAATGTCATTGTAATTGGATATGGCATCATAATACACCTGTAATTACTATATTTGCAAATGAATGTAATATCGGTTCATAGTGTTTCATATTTCGTTTGACGCTATTCCATCGTAACCTCGGTTCATGAAAACATAATAACGTTATATTTCTATTTGGCGACCCATCCCCAGGGGCTGAAATATTATCTCAGGTGCCATAAATCATCGGAGTTACTCATGATGCTATTGGTTTTCCACATGGCATCACATTTCATCTTATTTCATTACATTATGTCGATAATAGGTGGTATACTGTAGGTGGTATACTGTAGATGGTATACTGTAGATATTATGGTGATCATCAGGTGCAAGAAGAAATAACAAAAGGTACAACTCACAATCAAAAATACCATCCGAACCGAAACTAGTAATATAGTATTGTGTTCATTTCCAAATACATCATAGCCGGTAGGATTAGGTTAGGTTAAGTTAGATCAACCTAATCTAACCTAACATTAAACTAACCTAACCTAACCTACTCTAACCTAACACTAACCTAACCTAACCTAATCTAACCTAACCTAACCTAATCTAACCTAACCTAACCTAATCTAACCTAATCTAACCTAACACTAACCTAACCTAACTTACTCCCCTCCTCAGGTAGTATAAGGATAATTAATCATCAGATAAAACAAGCTTGAGCAGGAAATCTTCAGGTGAGATACATAGAGTGAGATATGACCACCAAGGTACACACTAGGTACACATTCCTCGGTGAGATTAAGAAGGTGTGAGTCGTGGGTTTGTTCGTCATTGTATAAATATTAGCTCACTCCTTCACCCAGACTCTACACTGATGCTGCTGGTCTATTTAGAGGTTGGAGAAGTTTACTGTGCCTGTGACCCATGAGTGTACCTAACCCATGAGTGTACCTAACCCATGAGTGTACCTAACCCATGAGTGTACCTAACCCATGAGTGTACCTAACCCATGAGTATACCTGACCCATGAGTGTACCTAACCCATGAGTGTACCTGACCCATGAGTGTACTTAACCCATGAATGTACCTGACCCATGAGTGTACCTAACCCATGAGTGTACCTAACCCATGAGTGTACCTAACCCATGAGTGTACCTAACCCATGAGTGTACCTAACCCATGAGTATACCTGACCCATGAGTGTTCCTAACCCATGCTAACTCATTCATGGTTTAGTATAAGATTTGCCTTGTCTTACTCCTTTGTGTGTGTGTGTGTGTGTGTGTGTGTGTGTTTGTGTGTGTGTGTGTGTGTGATTTATTAAACTCATCACTATTATCTAAGTTATTTATTCTATTACTTATATACATATTTTATCTCACCTCTAGTCTGGATGATCAGTTCTTATCTCTAACTAAATGTCTAGATAATATGTCTCATTTAATGACTACATTACCAGTCTAAAATCAACACTGTTTTCTTATCTTGTTTATTTACTAAGTGACTAATGTTGATTCAAGGTCTTTTAATACTCTATATTTTATAAGTCTTTTTTTTCTATTGTTTATTGTTACTTAGACATTTGTTGCTTCTGTTGATTATCCTTAAATATTGCTTTGATTTTTTTTTATGATTCAAGTTTTGTATATATGTAAGATTTCCTTTTCTTTGGCATTTCTTGATCTTCAGGGTTGATCTTAACCATTGATGATCTGTGGTCAAACTTTCATCTCGCTTAATGTATTCAGAATAATTTTATCTTCGTTTATTGATTCAGAGTGAGGGAAATACTCTGGACTGACATGCTAAATGATTAATCTGGAAAAGTTAGAAATAAGAGAGACTATGATGACTAAACATTATGAGTATGATGATTTAACCCCTGAGTATGATGACTTAACCCCTGAGTATGATGATTTAACCCCTGAGTATGATGACTTAACCTCTTGAGTATGATGACTTAACCCCTGAGTATGATGACTTAACCTCTTGAGTATGATGACTTAACCTCTTGAGTATGATGACTTAACCTCTTGAGTATGATGACTTAACCTCTTGAGTACGATGGGTCAACATCTTAGGAACACTTATTCATCAAACTCAAGAAGTTAAGTTTTTGTTCTCAGGGGATTAAATCATCTTACTCATGTGGTTAAGTCATCATAGTTTAGGGGTTAGGTCATCATAGTCAAGGGGGGTTAAGTCATCATACTCAAGGGGTTAAGCACCGTTGACAGCTTCACTTTCTCCTCTAGGTATTAAGTATCAAATTCAGTCATGTAAAACTAACTTAACTCTCTCATGTGTCGTGTCATAGGTTAGGTTAGGTTAGGTTAGGTTCAGGGATAATTGACAAAAGACATACTGATTATCAAGTACAGATTTTTAATAGAAAAATAATATGTATTATACATATATATACAACAACTGACTAGTAAAAACAACACGTGGCAGTAGTTAGGTGACGACTGGCACAGTTTGGCACCACAGTACAAATATATTTATAAATGGAGTTAATGTCCAGGGTGTAGGGCAGTGTAATGAGTGTAGGACAGTGTCACTAGGGTATGGTGGGTGTAGGGAAGTGTCACTAGAGTGTAATGGGTGTAGGGCAGTGTCAGTGGGATGTTAAAGGGTGTAAGTGTACCAACACGAGGGTGATATAGGGTGTAAGCGTAGTAACAGGGTGTAAGAACAGCGTCACTCTGGGTGTGGAAGAACTGTCGTATAACTCGCCTCCAGTGAACTCATCTCATGATCATCTTCTGTCGACTCCTTCAGTAGAACCTGAGGGAGTAGAAGAAGGCGTTTCTTTTCTGTTAACAAGACGAAGACTACTACTACCACCAGTAGAAGGCCGTCTTAACACACACACACAAGGTCTCTGCAGTGTGAGAGACACACGTAAGAAGTCTAAACATCAGGGGGAGACAGTGTGGGAGGCAGGTAGAGGCACTAATTGATATGTTTGGTTGAGGATGGAGGCGGTGTGTGGTGGGTCTAACATTGTGTTCCTTCACTGTCCACTGAGGCACTTGTTCACTGTCACACCCCGAGGTGTGCCACCGACTCTTATGGGTCACACTGTTGTCTGCTGGCCCAGCTGGCACTGGCACTAGTGTGTGTTGCTACGTGGCGGGTCTGTCGGTGGTGGAGGGTGACAGTCGGCGTGGACCTTACGACAGCTGCGGCCCTGTAATGTATTAAAGGTAAGGAAGCCGTCGCGGCAGTCGGCAGGAGTCACCTGTGTGTACACATCATAGGTGTGATCTGAATCGGCGTCACACGGCCGCTTGTATTGTTCTGACCCGCCCATGTTGTCGTACTGTGAGGACACATACGCTCTCCTGGCCCCGTGAGGATCACTGCTGCCCGTCGGGTCACCCAGGTCAAGATCTAGAGGCGGTGGGCAAGCTGGTGGGGGCGGAAGAAAAGCTGCCCAGTTTACCTGTACCCCGGAATCGTCGCTGTGGTGTTGCCAGTGTGCACTGTGGTTCAGGCGAGGTGACGGAGGCGAGAGCAAAGCTGTGGTAGCATACGGTTCCGTTGATGTCTCGCTGGGTCTCGGCACTCGTGGTTCGGCGTACTCGTTCGCTAGTTGGTCTGGACGAAGAAGTCGTGTTGATGACAGACTGGACTCTTTGTCACTCTCCGAGGGGCGCCACAACTTCTGCTCGCTGTACATGTTGATGGAGTTGTGGTCAGGGTAGATGGACGGGTCCTGGTAGAGGCTGTGGGGCGGGTTGGAGGGCGGCGCCTTATGCCTCAGCCGCCTCACATACAACACGGTGGCCAGGAAGACCAACAACACCAAAGGAATCAATAGGTACACCAGCCACGCTGGTTGTGGCGGGGCGTACAACACAGAACCTCCACCGTTGCCAGCTGCGTTGGCCTCCTGAAGGCTGTTGACATCACTGAGTCCAGCATCCAACAAGACGGGGTCGCTGAAGGGTCCAGGACCCGCCCCTGTGAGGGCCGCCACACGCACGGTATAGAGGCGGCTGGGAAGGAGGCCGCGAGCCTCCAGCCAGGGGCTCACCACCGTCTCTGTGGTGTGACTGCCGTTGTGACTTATTGTTACCTGGTAGCCCAGTAGCTCCCCGCGGGCCTCCTCGGGACTCACACTCGACCACCTGATGAGTACAGAACCTTCCTCACGCACCGTCACGCGCACATCACCTGGCGCAGCCGCCGGCACTGTAAATATGACAAAAATACGTTAATATATGGAGGAAGTAGAGTAAGATGTGTTCAAAATATTGTGAACAAGGACACAAGGTTTGTTTTGTCACCAATTAAGTTAACATAAACATAACAAATTTCAGCTACCTTAAAAACCTTGACCTATCATAGAAACAAAATAGAGATGAGTTTGTTAATCATTGGGTTGGATGTGAAGTTATTTTTGTTTTGTGTCACATATGTACAGGTGAGGTGTTCCTACTTCTGGCAGGTCAGTAGCGGGTGTTGACTGAGAGAAATATTATCGTACAGTATATCACCCGGCACTCTTATACTCTTAGCAGCCTTCTGGACACTTCTGGGCGGCCACCACATCTCCGTACATAGTGAACAGAGAAAATGGATGACTTACCATCTTCAGGTGTGGTGAGAGAGTAGGAGTTGGAGGGTGTGCCCTCGACGCTGTGCCAGAAGGGGACGATGAAGAAGGTATAGGGAGTGTTGGGTCGCAGGTCATGGAGGAGGTGGGAGGAGGACGAGGCGCCCAGGACGGTGGTCACTTGTACAGCGCCGTCCTCGCCCACCGAGTACACCAACACGCCCTCCACCGCCTCGTCCGTCGAGGCCAGGAAGTCCCAAGTGAGCAGTACACTGTCGGGAGCCGTGATGGCGGCGTCAGTGAGGGTGACGAGGGGACGAGAGAGGCGGCGACGGGCCTGGCGGACTTGGTTCACAGTGAGGCTGGGGTCTCGGGGGGAACGGGTGGTGATGGGGTCAGACCAAGGGCTCGGGAACGACGCCCCTCTGTTGGTGACGGCGCGGACCAGGAAGGTGTAAGTGTGTCCGGGAGTGAGATGACTCACCACGGACGACTCCTTCCTGATGGCGGCGTCAGCAACTCGCCACTCGTCCCAGCCCTGCCGCCAGTACTCCACGGTGTACCACTGACCAGACTCTTCACTTACTTGCGAGTTGGGCAGCCAGCTCAGCTGCACCGCCGTCTGGTTGACGGCCAGAAGACGCGGCTTGGTGGGAGGCGCCGGCAGCAGCAGCGGCTCCAACACCTCAGCATTATGATCTACCCTCAGTACCGCTGCCTGTTCCACGGTGCCCGTGTCCGCCGTGGCCTGGCACGTGTAGATGCCCGCGTCATCCAGGCGCACATCCTTGAGGATGAGGGCGCCGTTGTCAGGGAGAGAGATCCTGGAGTCTGTCGAGTGTTGGGACACTTGGCGAGCTGGCAGGTGGACGGCCGGTCGGTACCACCAGGAAATGGTGGCCTCGGCAGCCTCGCTCACTACCTCACAGGGGAAGGAGGCAACACTGCCAGGGGCAACCATCAGGTCTTGGGGTCCTATACCCACTACGGGTGGCGGAAGGGCTGACATCACTGCTACCTCTGCTTTACCACTCACACCGCCACCACTGCTCACTCCCCAGCAATAGTAGGTGCCACTGTCTTCTGTTGTTGCCTCCTCTAGTCGCAGTGTGTTGCCATTATCAGACACAGAAATATGGCCGCTACTTTTCCCAGGAGCAAGAAGTGCAGTCCTGTCTAGTGTAGGGAGGCGCCACAGCACCAGTGGCTCAGGTTTACCCTCCATGCGGCAAGAGACTTGTGCTCCCTTACCAGCCATCACTTGAAGGTGTTGTGGTCGCTGTGTTAACTGAGGGGCGTCGATGATGGTGAGTGTAGCTCGTGCCACGGCCATACCTGCCTCACTCTCCACCTCGCACACGTACAATCCAGAGTCTGCAGCTGTCACCTGCTCCAGCACCAGGCGTTGCTGTTGATCCTCGATCCTGGCACGTCCCAGTGGCATTTTGCCGTCTAGCCGCCGCCAGGTCACTGTGGGCGTGGGTGAGCCTCGAGCACGACACGTCAGTTCTACCACCACGCCTGACGGGGCAGTGACGTTGGTTGGCCGTTCCTCAAACCATGGCGGAGCTGAGAATGAAGAATTTATATTATTTCATATTACAAACCCATTAGATCCCCCCCCCGCAAAAAATCGCATGTGTTTTGGCTGTAGAAAAGTGCAGATATATCACAGGTACAGTGAGAGAATGAAGTATCGTCACGGGTGTGTGGACCTCATAAACAGTAGGCTTGTCTATGGAACCTTGGAAAGGTGTCGCCAGTGACAACATTCACTGTGTTGGGTAGTCAGGTTTCATTATACTTCGACAAAAGCTGAGAAGATATTTCATTCTTTCACTGTGTATAAATAAACAGGTGGAATGACCACAGTGTACAGCAAAGATCTATAACAAGTTTGGTTCTGACAGTGTGGCAGGTGGAGGACTTTATCACATAAAAATGAAAGATGAGCCACAAGTAGTTGACCTGCGACAACAACTTACTCATGACGGTGAGTTGGGTGGGCTGGGACTCCCTGGTGCCGGCGGCGTTGCGGGCGCGACACACGTAGGTGGCAGAGTCTTCCTGGACGGCCTGACTGATGACCAGGTCTCCCTCCTCAGTGACGCTGACACGGGAGGAGTTGGTCACCTGGCGGCCGTCCCTCAGCCAGCTCAGCTCCGGGGCCGGGGTGGCCTTGGGTGGCCGGCAAGGCAGGGTGAGGGAGTCACCGACGCGGGCCCTCATCGTCGACTCCGCCTGGCTCTGGAAGTCGTAGGCCAGCGTGGCCACGGTCAGTGTGGCGTTGTTGGAGCGTGTAGCACCGTAGCTGTTGGAGGCCACGCACCAGTACGTGCCCGTGTCACTGTCCCTCCTGGAGGAGGTGACACGGAGGAAGAAGAGGGAACCAGAGGGCAGGAGAACACGGTGGGAGCGAGGATCTTGTGTCGACGTGACCACCTCCTGGCCGTCACGGAACCACCTGACGCGGGCGGCCCCTGAGGCGGCACAGTTGAGGGTGGCGGGGTCGTTACGGCGAGCCACCATGTTACTGGGGTGTTCCTTGATGACTGGCGGCCCTTCTGTAGGAACAAGATGGTCACGTGTTACTGGTGGTGTTACTTCTGTAGGAACAAGATGATGACGTGTTACTGGTGGTGTTACTTCTGTAGGAACAAGATGGTGACGTGTTACTGGTGGTGTTACTTCAGCAGGAACAAGATGGTGACGTGTTACTGGTGGTGTTACTTCTGTAGGAACAAGATGGTGACGTGTTACTGGTGGTGTTACTTCTGTAGGAACAAGATGGTGACGTGTTACTGGTGGTGTTACTTCACTAGGAACAAGATGGTGACGTGTTACTGAAGTAGAGATAAGTTTATCAGTGTACAAATATGCAACTTGCAGGTGTATAACATCCCCGACCTGGAGTCACAGTATAACACAGTATAACACGATGAACAGTAGACCACAACGTTTAGGCATTTGTTATGAACTGATGAGACAATCCTAAATCACAACACATGGCTTGTTTATTACCAGGTACAGTGTGTTCATTAATGAGGGATCACACACACACACACACACACACACACACACACACACACAGCCTTACGAGGAAACGGAAGTAAAGCCACACACTGTTCCCAGGACTAATTGACTACAGGAATACTAGTACATCGCCCCGCAGGTATTAGTGCTGTTACTCAACGTGTGTGTGTGTGTGTGTGTGTTCCATAACCCACCTGGCTAGTTCATCCTGTCACACACCTGCCTGCACCACTATTATTATCTACATTACCTCTTATTTCATTCGTTTATTGACTAATTTCTTTTTATCGTTTTACCGGTGTCTATAAATTTTATCGTGTATTTGTTTTTCTGAGGAGGGGGAGAAGGAAGGGGACGAAGAGGGGAGGTAAGGGGGGGGAAGAAGGGGAGGAAGCTTTGGGGTTAGGGGGGAGTGGGTTATAATTTTGGTGATAGTGGATGTTAGTGTCGCAAGAGATGGTGTGTTTTTCGTGTTAAATTGGTCCAGTGATGCTATCTTATATTGTTGATGAGATGGAAGAGAGAGAGAGAGAGAGAGAGAGAGAGAGAGACTGATTTTCATACCCAAGAATCAGCTTCGAATGATAAACTAATCAATCAAACAATCAACTCTACCTGACAACCTCAATCAATCAATTCTACCTGACAACCTCAATCGATCATCTCTACCTGACAACGTAATCAGACCATCAATTAACCAGGTATATATATATATATATATATATATATATATATATATATATATATATATATATATATATATATATATATATATATATATATATATATATATATATATAACACTCTCCCTCACCTGAGAATAAGTCAACGTTGCTACCTGGCTAACAGACCCCCACCTCACCACCACCACACACAGCTGCCCCGACACCACCTCTACCATCACCTACCTACAGCCTCTGGGCAGCTGTACAACCCTCCACTATCTTACCTCTGAACCAGTTATCGATGTTCTGGCGATTTTATTGGTGTTATGGATGTGTTATCGATGTTAGGTTAGCATTAGGGTGGTTAATCTTCAGGTGAAATAAGCTGGGAGGGTTAATCTTCAGGTAATCCTAATTTTTTTGTCTCTTTAACTGTATCATTACAAAGACTCCGTGACCTCAATACCCAGGTAATTTCACCTTCATTTCCTCCGTGTAATGTGCTACTGTAGGTGTGTAAACGCTCTCTTTCTCTCTACCTGTCTATTTTTGTCTGTCTCTGTCCCCCTTTCTGTCTGTCTGTCTGTCTGTCTCTCTTGTCTCTCTCAAACACAATATATTAAGGTTGTCTGAGATCATCCACACAAAAGTACTCTACAATTACCTGCCATTCGTTGAGGTACCAATAACATTATCGTTTATTAACACCAAGCCATTGAGAGAGAAATAATTGGTAGTTAACGGTGAAAGTTGATTGTTTACATAACCACGAATACAGACAGGAAGCCTTTGTATAAAGCATCAGCAACACTATTATTATAACCCTTTGTATAGCGTACCAGCCACACTATTATTATTACCCAGAGAGCTGTGGGTCATAGACTGCTTCACGTGGGTTGCATTCAACACTCAGAAATACCTATTATTATTTTTTTCTGACAGGTGAGGTAGGGAGGAAGGGGAGTGGAGGAGGGTAAGAATGTTATCTCAGCATCTGCCCATTGTTTGTCCAGTAGTCTTGTGATGTATTGGAAGGTAATTTGCATAGATTCTAATTTTCACTTACGAATTAGACTATAATTTGGGGGGTTTACCTGAAGATTAAGGCTTGTCCATAGCTTCTTTCACCTGTTGATTAACTACCCTAATGTTACCTGGGGGTTTAAGTTAGGTATAGTTAAAATTACAATATGTTAGGTTAGGTTTAGTTAGTTTAGAAAGGTTAATCATCAGGTGAAATTAAATTGGTGACCAAATCTTCAGGTGTTTTATAATAATTACCTTTTTTTGTTCACCTTGATATATTTACCGCATGCTTGTTGTTCCACTCTCAGGTGCTTCACGTCCCAATTAGGGCACAGGTAGGCGTGAGTTTAGTGACCATAGATAACGTTGGTACATATAAGGCTGTCCCATATTGTCCAGTCCTGTTGTTGTGGTGTATATTACTCTCTCTCTCTCTCTCCCTCTCTCTCTCTCTCTCACCTACTCCAGTATATCACCATACCGAACCGAATCCAATCTACCATGACACAGGATCGGTACACCACAAATTCACGACACACACTGGACCGGTACATCACGACACATTGGACCACCCAACACTCCATGGCAATCTCTGTTTGCCACCCTCCCCCTTCCACACACACATACACACAGACACAGACACACACACAAAGGCCAGTCACAAAAAGCAGAGCGAGAGGCAACATTAAGCACGACGCCTCCCTATTATGGTTGAGTCTGGCACTAACATCGTCCACCGTCCCACACCACTAGCAAGCATAACAGGTCAGAGCTACTATCACCACGGTTTAGTTAAGATAGCTTAGATTAGCGTTAGATTTGGTTAGCTTTAGGTTAACTTAGCTTTAGGTGAAGTTAAGTTGGCTTAGGTTAGGATAGGTTAGGTAAAATGGACCCTGGGCGTTGGGGGGGCTTATCTTCAGGTGACGGAAACTGATATGTTAAGGCAAGACATGATGTCCTGTGTTGTGTTGTAGACGAGGGGTATCAAGACTGGACTCTGAGGGGCTGAGTCAGGGTGTGATGTGTGTACTGAAGAACGTCGCCTCCATCACCAAGTAAGGTGGAGTGTATCCTGGGTGAGAGGTGGTGGTAGTGGAGGAGGTGTAGTGGTAGTGGTGGAGGAGATAGGGATAGTGGTGGTAACAGGAAGAGGTAGTGGTGGTAGTGGAGGTAGTAGTAGTGAAAGTAGTAATGGTAGTGCTGGTAGTTGTAGTCGTAGGTGTGGTGCTAGTAGTGGTAGTGGTATTGGAGGTGGTAGTAATGGAGGTAGTAGTAGTGAAAGTAGCAGTAGTGAAAGTAGTATTGGTGGTAGTAGTAGTGGTGGTAGTGATGATAAAGGTTATATGAGCTGTGTGATTAAGTGGTGACTCCTGCAGTGTTAGGAGAAAGGTCACGTTGATACGGTAGTTAAACACGGCAGAACGTTACTTACATTTATATTCATTACCAGACATTGTTAAGGACCTCTGCTGAGTTGACAGACATAAGCGCCCAAGTTCACAGTGTCCCTCACAGTATAGTACAGTGGTCTGACCATGGTGCTTATCCCTGGCTATCTGTAGTGGTCCAACCATGGTTTGTATCCATTGGTTTTTCGGTCTAGTGCGCCCCCCCCCCCCACCAGCTATCTACAGTGGTGGTCCATCGGTCCATTCATGGTATATATCCCCAGTCACCTACAGCGGTCCACGTGTCACGGCGGTATTCCCTGGTGGCCGGCCCGCTCGCCCAGCTGTTGTCCCGGACACACACCCTGGGGGTCGGCCCTCACCAGCCAGCCGTCCACCACTAAGTAATGGGTCGCTGGGATATGAATAAGCTTGACAATGATACAGTTGGTGGTGAATTACGAGTGGAAAAAGAGGGGTATGGTGGGTTGATGGGTGGAGCGGGGGGTGGGATGAAGAGGGGGAGAGAGTTGGGTGGAGAAGGTGGAGGAGATAGAGAGTAAGAGAAGGAGAGTAGGTGGAGGAGGGCAAGAGTGGTAGGTGGAGGAGGAAGAGGAGTAGGGTAGTACTTGGAAGTGGAGAAGGGCAAGAAGAAGTAAAGGAGCAGGAACTGGAGGTGGACAGGAAATGGAGGAGGGTAGGAGGGCAGGAGGCAGTCGGTGGTCCAAGTGTCACACAAAATCTTTACAACAGGACCAGACCTTCAGGTACCTGTTATTAACTCCCAAACCCGAGAAATGTCTTAATTTATCTTTACCTCAGTCTAGGGGTGAGGGGGGGGGGAGGAAGGAAGGGGGAGTGATGGGGAGGAGGAAGGGGAAGACGGAGATGGGGTAGAGTGGGAGGGGAAGGGAGAAATTATGAGGGAGAAGGTGGATGAGGAGAGAGGGGGATGAGAGAGAGGGAGGAGGAAATGGAGAAGGGGTGAAGGGGGTTGGAATGAGAGGAGAAGGATGAAGTGAAGGGAAAAATTATGGGGGTAAAGAGGCCTAGGATGAGCAGGTGAAGGAAAACACACAGGTGAGGGTCAAATCACCTGAAATAATACTTGGAACGTCTCGTAACCTTTTGCATGTAGACGATCGGTAATTATCCTTGCAAAAGAAAAAAACACCTGAAGATTAACCCTCCCTAAAACACTCACCTTACGTTGTGTTAGAGTGGTCAATCTTCACGTTCAGACTTAAGAGAGTTCAGTGTATTGAGACAAAGGTTCTGTGTTGACCCCTTCACCCTGCTTTATGAGGCGAGGTATGAAACGAGTCGGAAAAATTATGATAGATAATTTTGAATGGTTCAAAAGTAATGTGAAAGTGGCGCAATAAGAGGACTGACTGCTGGTAGGGTCGTCGGACACAATAGTTATATCAATAACGACCAACTTATTTGGCAACATACTATATAGTTCAAGAAGATTAAGAAAATATACATATAGAACTCATTGTGTATTTTACCTCAGAGATATTCACGAGAAATATTTATCCCTAATCATTTTTTTTTCTTGTTTATGCATTATTATTCTTGTTAACCTCGGCAGTAAGGTTGTCTAGGCCCGAAAAGAAGCCGCTAAATGGTGTCTAAAAATGACCCCAACAGTACAGAAAACGTCATCACTACAGGAAAATTCTACGTCAATGATAAATTATTTGTTTTTGTGTTTTGTTAATTTTTTTTGGTCATAAAGTTAATCAATATAATGTGAATAAAAAAACGAGGAATATTTACACATTCACACACAATATCATATATTTTTATAGGTTATATTATAATTATTATTATTATTATTATTACGTTATTATTATTTTATTATTATTATTATTATTATTATTAGTATTATTATTTCATGCTTTTTAGATTTGCGTCAATTTAGTTAATATACAACAGTTTCGTACCAAGTCGCTGAGCCACTGACTGTCTTAATCCCATTGACTGTCTTAATGCCACTGACTGTCTTAATGCCACTGACTGTCTTAATGCCACTGACTGTCTTAATGCCACTGACTGTTACCAATTAATCAAGGATATGGAAGTAACTTTGCCATTCTTAATAGAATGTTTAAATAAATGAAAGAAACGGTTAAGGGGTTTTCAGTTTTTTCCTGTACTGAGTTTAAATATTGATTGGAAAAGAGTACCAGAATTAGTGATGAATTTATGTTATGTAGTGAGTAACGAGGAACCCAATCCACCTCTTAGACCGGAATAATTTGTTCAGACTCACACACACACAGATGTTATAAAGAACACAACATTCCCCTTGATCACACAGGTGTTGAGGAACATAGACCACAGGTGTTGAGGAACATAGACCACAGGTGTTATCAGGTGTATCCACAAAAAAAAATGTATAGGTACGTAGAGATAAAATGATCACGTTAATGACATAATGGTGATATCTTTCTCACCTGTCTGAGAGTTAGGTGAGAAACAACAACACCTGTATGAGAGTTGTACCTGTCATTGTGTTATGTTAATGAATGTTGTTAAGAGACATATTAACGAGACAGGTGAATGGATGCTTGTTCTTATATGACTGACAGACTGATAATGTTATCATATAAAATAACTGTAAAAATAAGACCATAAGAACATAACATATAACACTATATAAACAAGATGAAAATAAGAACACACTATATGAAATTATTATACAAAAATAGGTTAATAATAAGAACATAGAGTACTGGAAGAGTGGAACAAGTTACCAAACATCATCATTAACTCGAACACGCTGGATGGCTTCAAATATATAGGTTGGATGGATATATGAGCGATAGGGGTTGGGTGTAAACGAGACTGTCCAATATAAGCCAATAACCCCTTTGTAGTTTCCTCCATTATGATCATATATGACTAATGTAAATAAGGCTATTATATAAAGCGACCCGTTTCCATCCTACGCCATCAACATAGGTTAGTTTGCTTCACGCTGGGTTAGATTAGGTTACGTGAGGTTAAATTACGTCAGGTGAAATAAACTGGGGTGTATAATCTTCAGGTGATCCATAACCCCGTGTTGCCTCTGGGGTCAAACACGGTAAAGGTTCTACACTATTTATATCTCGCTTTTAAACTGTCAGCCTTTTTTTTTCTCTAGTGCAGTTGAAGCTTCCGGCCGTCGTGACCACATTAATACTGGGGGAAAAAAGAACAACCCTGGCTTTATAACGGGACTACGTGTCTTTGAGGGATCACCTGATGATTAGACACCCTAGTTTATTTCACCTGAAGAGTAGCCCCCAACCAGCTTATTTTACCTGATAATTAGACACCCTAATACTACCTGGGAGGGGGAGGGGTTAAGTTAGGAAATAAGTTGGTTAAGTTAGGTTAGCAATAGGGTGTCTAATCTTAGGGTGAAATAAGCTAGGGTGTTTAATTTAATCTATTTAATATATCTATCACATTATCTATATATAAAGTTATCTATCTATTTAGTTATCTATATATCTATCTAAACCTGTAAAGAAAGCTTCCATCTTTACAACACTTATAAACAGCTTAGTTCATAATACCATCAGTAATTACTAAACATTCCTTAATTAGAATATGATCATTATAACACATTAATATTCCAATAACGCGCAAAGGTCATTTAATCTGCGCGATCTTAGAATATTTATCTCTAATTGCATATGATATTAACTTAACGAATATAATTGACTCGTAACTTACTAAATATAATTGACTGGTTAATATTACATGTGTTATGGTTATCGTAAGTTAGTTTTGGTTAAGTGAGTGTTTTGTGTGTGTGTGTGTTTGTACTGGTTCACGTAGTTGTTTGAGTAGTATTCCAAGATAGCGCAGGTAAAATTAATTAATGTACCTTTTTTGTGAACACCTGTACCTGCATATGTATGTTTTTTTAATTAATGATTTTTATTTTGGATTGTGTATAAACAGTGATTGTAAAAAGATGACAAATATGAGGATATAGATTATGATGTCTTACTAAACAAGTCACTTAACCTAACCAAACCAAACTCATTAAAACCCTAACCTAACCAAATAGACCCCGTGTGTAAAAGGCCCCCACAAAAGCCCCATCAAAAGACCCCGTGTATAAGAGACACCCACAGCCCCGAACACCCACAGCAGTCCTACAAATAGACCCCGTGTGTAAAATGCCCCCACAAAAGCCCCCTCAAAAGACCCCGTAAAGAGACACCCACAGCCCCCAACACTCACAGCAGTCCTACAAATAGACCCCGTGTGTAAAATGCCCCCACAACAGTCCCACAAAAAGACCCCGTAACAGGCACCCACAGCCCCCAACACTCACCTTCATGAGCTACACTCAGCCCCAGCAGGAAGATCACATAAACTATAAAATCCATGTTTACGTCGCCACCAAAAACCTCACCAAGTTAATAACATAAATAATTCAGTTATGTGACATTTTCTACCATAATTAAGGGAATAAACACCTTTTTTTTTAATCACACTTGTTTAGTTTCACACTTTTCTTCGAGTCACTTTTGTTTTATTGATCACTCACGATTGCCGGGTAAACAAAGTGAGATGTATGAATTGTTTTGTGAAGCACTTGAGGGAGATATGCATTGTTCTGCTGAGTTCATATGTGCGTATGACTAATCTCCTTGAGGTCTCGTCTCACACTGCCGCTCGCCTCCTCTCCTTCCGACTCTTCGTGGCCGCGCACTGTGTAGGGGCGAGTAGGAGGAGTCAGGAGGCTTGGGTGGGTGGGGCCAACACACAGGCGGCCACCAGTCCACTGTACAGACTCGGCCCGGCCAAGCCAAGCAAACTCCGGCCACGGCCAGAGCAGCACGCGCGGGTTCAAGGTTGTCTGTCCGTTGTGGCGGTGTTGTACCGGACTGATCAAATTGACCACCTTTGTCTTGACCGAACGAAACATATATGTATGTACATTGAAGCTCTCCCCTCCATATAACGGACTTCTCTCACTAGATTATCCGTTAGGTTAGGTTAAGTTAGGTTAGGTTTGGAAAGTTAAAACAGCATCACCGAGATTTCCTAAGCAGTTGTTGTGGAGGATCTGCCGGAGGTTCTGCTCGCTGTCGCTATTCATCTGCTCTGCTTCCTGTCTTGCGGTTTTGTGCTGTCTGCTATATCTTCCCGTCTGCTTATTATATTTTATCAGCGTCTTCCTCTCTCTCTTTCTTCCTGTCTTGTGGTTTAGTGTTGTCTGCGGTGAGTCTTGTCATTTTCTTATTCTATTTCATTAATGTTTTCCTCCATACCTTTGTTCGTATGAGTCACAGCTTAACTTCATTTTTTTTTACAATATTACCTTTCGTCCCCCCCCCCCCACTTCTTTCCTAGTGAGGGAGTAAACAACAGGAAACTCCTATAAAAGAAAGAATCAGTCCATTATAAGTTTGGGAAATACTGTTAAACCAACCATAAATCCGGATAACTTTAGGTTTACTTTATATTATTCCAGCTAAATAAACTGTTTTTATTCATTCTATATCTCTATCAATATATCTAAATACAATAAAGTGTTTCAATTTCAATATAAATTTCCAATATTTTACTCCTATATGATATACACGTAATACACACCGAAATATATATAATTTTTCTAAGTAAATTGGGTGTTCTTTCCTCTACCCCCCGCCGTCACCACTACTGCCGCTGGCTATCATCAACACACTGTCGCTAACACACACACACCACACTACACAGAGGGTTGCAAACATTCTCACGTTGACTCACAATTACACGGTGTGGGTAAGTTTACAAAGGCCTCACAGCATCGAGAGATCACCTGAAGATTAGACCACCCTAGTTTGTTTCATTTGAAGTATTAACCAACCACGCTAATCTTGTTTTTTGGTGGGATGAGGTTAAGCTAGTGTTAGGTTTGTGTTAGGTTAGGTTAGGTTAGATTGAACTAAGATACACACAACACTGATTTCTCAAACACACTTAGGAACACCGGTAGTAAGGGAGGTGTATCAGGTATCAAGACCACGTATGCTGAGTGACCTGACCGCGAGGGAAAGACCAACTCCACATACCTTTGGTCCCTTCTGTACAAAGCATTTCGACCAGCCATCTACTCCGGGTCTATCTTTTATACGGCGTCACAATACACGGAATGTTTGTGTATTGTGTTGGTAAGTGTTTACAAGAGGTTAAACCCTTTATGGATGAGGTCAGGGGTAATGGAGGGAGAGAGAGTGAGAGTGAGGTGAAAAGTAGGGATAGAGAGAGAGAGAGAGAGAGAGAGAATGGGAGAGAATGTGGTGGTTTGAGAAATAGAGAAAGGGGGGGGCGTAGATAGGTGAGGTGACAAGTAGAGAAAGAGAGAGAGAGAAGAGGAGAAAGAGAGTGAATTGGTTTGAAAAATAGAGAGAAAAAGTAGAATGAGAGAGAGAGAGAGACAGAGAAAGAGAGGTATGTGTGGCGGGTGAATGGTAAGGACTGGCTGATTCATCTATAGGGGAAAAGGTATACTCTAAGTTATAAGATGTTTGGTCCACACAGAATAAACTTCGATCTAATCTCCCCTTAGCGGTCCACACTGTACACATCCTCCTCCCCACCATGAGTGACCTTCCTGACAGTGCTCCTACAAGACGGTCACCCACCACCGCCTCTGTTTTGGTTACCCTGAGGAGTGATGATGACTTATTGCTTCCCTGGGAGTCACTTCCCCTTGGTGAATCTCCATCATGTACGTGGGATTGTAAAGATGGGGTGATGGTAGTTAGTCATTTGGGCCCTTCCAGTTGTATTAGACACCAGTTTAGGTATTAAGTTTGGGGTCTAATCTATATAGTATCTAGTTTTATTAGACATTGATTCTAATAAACCTTATGATAAGCTCTCTTTCTCTCTCTCTCGCTCTCTTTCTCTCTCTCTCTCTCTCTCTCTCTCTCTCTCTCTCTCTTATCAGCCAAACACACACACACACACACACACACACAGTAGCTTCAGCCGGTGTGGCCAGCCGGCGTCATGCAGCGCTCAGGGTATATAGCCGGTGGGACCTGTTGCCGGAAGTCAGGGCAGGTTTTTGTTGCCGGATTTGCATAAACTGGGCGTATGACAATGCTATGCGATTCCCTCCACGCAGATGGGATTCTCATTGTATTGTTATCGGTAAGAGCCCTTATGACAATAGGTTAGTGGGTTCTGTCTCCAGTTGGATGTTGTTCTGGCTAATGAATGGACGAGAGAGGTAGCGGCGTCACTATTACCTGGCTGGCTTGTGTCCGCTCGATGGGTCGTCTTTTGTTGGCCTCACTACACTTTCCACCATCTTGATGTGTAATTAAAGGAGATCACATGAAAATTAGCTACACTATAGTTTATTTTTAGCTTGAGATTAATTACAATTAACCTAATATAACTTAACGTAACCCTAATGCAAATCTAACCTAGCATAACCTACCCTAACTTAACGTAACCTAACCTAACTTTTTTCCTTTGAATTTTTCCATGTTACTTTTTCCAATTACTTTTCTCATTACTTTGTTACTTTTTCCAGTTACTTTTCCTATTACTTTGTTACTTTTTTCCCCATAACTTGTCTCTGTTACTCTCTCTGTTACCTTTTCCTGTTACCTTACCTGTGAGTTACCTTCCAAGAGCCGTGCCAAACACCGCCGGCAGTCACTAGAGAAATGAGCGGCGTCCTTCACGGTGACAATGGAGGCGGTGACTTCTCGTTGCAATCTGGGTGGGTCGGGGTAGAGTCGGGGTTGTGTCGGATGTTGGTCGGGACAGAATGCATGGGTAGGGGTGGGTTGGTCGGGTGCCTGGTGGAGTTGGGGCAAAGTTCGGATCGTGGACATGGTGGGGTAAGGTCGGGGAGGTGGGGTAAGGTCGGGGTGGTGTCGGGCGGGGTGGACATGGCGGGCAAGGTCTGGGTGAGGATGGAGGAGGCGAGGCGGGAGGGGCAGGACGGTGGAGGAGGCGGGCGGGAGGGGTGGGTCCTCCTTCACGCTGAGTTAGCGAGTTTGTGTCTCTCTCTATCATCGTCACGACACACTGGCTCACAAATTTCTCAACCCATCTGTGTGGTGGAGGGATAAGATCGATTGAGAGAGAGAGAGAGAGAGAGAGAGAGAGAGAGAGAGAGAGAGAGAGAGAGCATGTGTGTGTGTGTCACTTAACCACAAAACAGAGGAAAATTAGAATGACAAAACACTCATTAACATTCAATTAAGGTTAGTGTAGGTTAGGTTAGGTACAGGAAGTATGGAGGAAATTGCTCAATAAAAGTCATCCGTATAAAGGGGAAGGATAACACTGAGACCATCAAGTTACCAACGGCTGTAATTAAAGTTAAATGGCCCTCATCTCCCATCACTCCACACAACACTTCACCCCAGCAACACATGGCAGACAACACTTCAACTTACACTTCATCTTGGCAAAAATACTATCACACGACAGACAACATTTTACACTTCACTTCAACATTTCACCCCCCACTTCACCACCCACACTTCACCACCCACACTTCACCACCCACACTTCACCACCCACACTTCACCCCCACACTTCACCAACACACTCAAGACAACACATCAACACTTCACCATCGCCCATCACTTCTATTTCACCATTTCTCACAACACTTCCACTTACTTCACCATCACACTCTACATAGAACACTTCACTTGAGCAACACTCGTCCATAATTGAGTGTGACCTGTCTGATACGTGGGGGGGGGTCAATGACGGCAGCTGAGGGAGAAAGGAGCTTCTCAACCTTGAAAAGAATCAAAATTGTCTTGAGGAATACCAAGGTGAATGACATTATCTGCTTCATTAATGATATAAATTGAAAATAAACTAATCAACAGAAATAATTAAAACGTAACTAATCACTTTGCTACATTTAAGAGCCGTCACATGGAGTTTATTTTCAAGTAATGTCCAGCTGGGCCCCAGATATCCAGCTGGGCCCCAGAGTATTCACGCCATCAACTTCAAATCACAAACTGGACCCTGAGGTAAATACGGTAATATAGTTTTTTTTTCTTCTGTGGCAAATGTTTAAAAATTACAGACCTTAGTTTAACACGAGGCGCCACTGACCATAACACTACACTTTTACTTCACCACACACAACACTACACCATCACACTACACACAACACTACACCATCACACTACACACAACACTACACCATCACACTACACGCAACACTACACCATCACACTACACACAACACTACACCATCACACTACACACAACAAACACCACACCACACACAACACACACCACCACACACACAACACACACCACACACTACACACAACACTACACCATCACACACTACACACAACACTCACCACCATCACACCAACCATCACACACACCTCTAATAACAGCTCCTTCTACTATTATCTCTATCTACCACCACCACCACCACCACCACACACCACCACCACCACCACCACCACCACCCCCACCACACCCACCACCACCACCACCACCACCACCACCATCCCACACACCACCACCACCACCACCACCACCACCCCACCACCACCACCACCACCACACCACCACCACACACCAGCACCACCACCACCACCACCACCACAGTTGTTATCTGACATAGATTGTTCACGAGACAACAATAATGTAAGGGGTAAAAAAACTTTGGTAAAACTGTGAAGTTGCTTCCCGACCCCCACGTCACTCCTCCTCCTCCTCCTC